AATGCAAAGTCCCTATGAGGATAGAAGAACAAACGTCAATGCAAAGTCCCTATGAGGATAGAAGAACAAACGTGTCTGTGTGTGTGTGTGAGGAGGGGACAGTCAGTGAGGAGACAGTCAGAGCGCTGCGGGGAGGAAATCAGACAGTTCAGAGTTTTCCTCATGAGTTGTTGGGACAGCTACAGGTTTTTTTTTTTTTGGTATTTTGTTAAAACACAGATGGTGCGTTTAAGTTTCCTGTTATTTTTGGGAGCTACAGGTAAAGTCTTGACGAGTTTGTCGCGGGTCTGGGGGAGTTTCAGCCCCCACCCCTTCTCCTCCTCTCTCTCTCTGTGTCTCCCCGCTGCGAATTTCAGGCTCTAGTGCTCCGACACTGCAGCAGCCGCGTTCTGCTTTGAAACGTTTCTTTAGTTTGTTATTGCTACGAGCTCTCATGCTAACGRGAGAGTTCACTCCTCCCGACACCAAGAAAACAGGAGGGGAGGAGTCAGCTGAGCTCCTGTGTAGTGGAGCACAGAGAAGGAGAGAGATGAAGTAAATCAACAAGCAGGAAAATGAAACTTATCGTCCTCATTTTTTTACCGACCTCAAAATAATTTATCGTGATATTAATTGATTTATTGACTATCGCGACAGGCCTAGTCGCAATATTGTTTTGCGTTACAAAAGTTTGATTTGTATGTGAACTGAATTAAATCAGACTTTTATTTTGAAATGTTCGGTTACCAAAACAGGATGTGTCGCCACAAGTTCGTGAAACTGACATTGATTGTGTGGCTGTGTGATACATTCATTCTGAAGCTGAATTAAAGCAGTAGGCTAACTCGCTAATGGTGAACTTGTGAGTTTGTTAATAAACCGGCAGGCACAACAGTGATAAACCACTTTTGTGAGGGAACGCAAAAGGTATGGCGAGGTAACACAGTACTTTTGCGCGGGAACGCAAAAAGAAAAAAAAATCCCCCATGTCCCCTCGTGGGCTCAGTATTTTAGAGAGGAGTGTCAAAATGCAAGAAATAATGTAGATTGATGGGATTTAGGTAGAAACAGTTGTGGCACAGACATACTTCACCACAAAAACATCATCAAAAATGTAAACGCGCCTCAAAAGGTTGGACTTTACATGACTAAGCTAGTATTTTAATATGCTTTATGGTTTTTACACAATGTTTATGTTCGATCTGACATTTTGGAATATTACACGCTAATTTTGAAGCTGTCTAAAACGGTCAAATGTTTTGCAAACAAACTGTTTTTTGGCACGTTTACAAATTATACATCGCCACGTTTGTCTTCTTTCTCCCAGTGTTTCTCTCACTGCTGTACGACTCAGTTTTCTCTCAAATCTCATCAGAACGCAGAAAGTGCACACCCAAACTTCCACAGACTTTAGTTATAATTTAACACAAAACGAAAAGTTAAGAGCCTTTTTTAAAAAATGGCATTAAACTGTGTAGAAACATCAAACTTAGTCCCGAACATGGGACTATAAGTCTACTACAAAAGCCAAGAGCAGTCGTTTTCTGCATATAATTTTTTTCATGGTTTTTCTAAACAACAAGGATCGTTTTCTTGAGGTAACGTGATGGTCTGGTCCCCTCAGCTGGAACATCTATGAAGTTTACTATTTATTTACTTATTTATTTACTTATTTATTTACCGTTATTTAAACAGACAAATCCCATTCAGATCGCAGATCTCTTTTGCAAGGGTGGCCTGGGCCTGAAGGCAACCCAGTAATTTTGTGACATTTTTGTATCATTTCGAAGACTGAAATTGTGATTAGTTTGTCTTGTACAGGTAACTTTCATACAAGCCCTCGTCGTTTAAGGAGACAGCTGGCCCGACTTCTTTTAACCGTGGTTCTTTTTACACTTCTTATACTATTTATACATCAGAATGTAGGCTTATTTATTAGCTCAGATCAGGGGTGCCCAAACTTTTCCTCTGAGGGCCAAATTGAAAACTGATTTGAGGGCTGCGGGCCAAATGAAACAATATAATACATGAAATGTAATTAATTCTRAAGTAAAGATGTTTTATTTTTTATGATTAAGCTAGCAGCCAGTGCAGTGGCCCACATTTTTTAGTTTAGTTTTTTTTTTAGCCAATGGATGTGCAGAAAATTTGACATACACTTGAGCAGCAAAGGCTCATGGGACTTTTCACAAGTTAAAATTTGACGTCTTACAAAATGTGCAAATCTTGATATAATCTAATCTAAATGTTTCTTGTAGTTATTTTATGTTTAATCTTAATATAATTCAAAGATAGTCCCATAAGTTAAGATGATCTGCACTATAGTTGGACCAATGGTTGGAATGACTAATTGAAAATATAGTGTTTCTACATAAAACAGGAGAACACAACCTAGTAGCCAGGACAACTGCTGATAGGCCAAATCAAATGGCTTGGTGGGCCAACTTTGGCCCTCAGGCCCCACTTTGGCCACCTCTGGTTTAGATTATTACAAAGTCAAATTGGAGTTTTGGACAGCAGCTGCGACTCACACCCACAWATACAGCATTTTTTCAGGTATGTTCAGTAACTGTAGCTACACAATCTCTTATTGTGAAAAATCAATAAACTTCCCCATTCTTGTTAATACAGACAACCTGATCTACTAAATGTTTGCGTGTATAAAAAACACACTCATACTTGATAGCGTGCGCAAAGCTGATCCACTAACRGTGTGCACCGAGGATTACGGTTGTCATTTGAGCTAAACGAATCCATTTAGTGTGTTTGCCTTCATGGAAATGCGGAGTGCATGATGATTTTCAAAACGTGTAAAACACTGGGAGGAGGATATGCAAACATAATAATTTAGCACCACAATGTGATTTATCAAACCTGAAGCTAATTGCAGTTGTMTCAGCGTCTTTATTTAGCATGTTTACAAGGCAGAAACAAGCTGGCTGCTGTCACTGTGGTGAGAAGGAGGCGTAGCTGCAACGACAGACAATGGAGAGCGAGAATGATCTTTGAGTTTGTCAGCATGTTTGGACTGCCAGAAATAAAAAGAGTYGAGACATACAGTTAATCCAGCAATGCCCTTTTTAAGCTGCAGGAGCAGGGGTTCTCAAAGTTGGGGTCAAGGCCAATGATCTGGGAGGGTCCCCAGATCATTTCCACACATCAGTTTAATGCAAATAAGTTGCCAATGGAATAGTCTCACTGCTTTTATTCTAAAAAATATACAATAGTAAATGAATATAAGTCGTATCGTAGTTATAAGGTTTTTAAATTGRTATTATGTCCATGTTTAACTGAGTTGTTAGTAAAGTTTGCATTCGTAAACCAGAAATGTCAGTGGTTAAAAGTTTCTGCAACTCTTATTTTGTAGGAGCTAAAAAGTTTGAAACCCTCAGGGCTGGAGGACCTCTGATTTGGAGTCAGTCAAAAACAGAAGTCACYCCATATCTCCTGTGGAAAAACCCCTTGAAATATTTCATTTGTTAGTGTCGGCATCTCSCAGAGTAGTTTATCTGGTGTACTCTCCCAAAATCTCCATGACAGACTCGCAAAAATCCTCATTTCAATAAGGCGGTCTGCATCACTTGTGCACCTGTTATCATTTACACACTTAGTCGATCACATGCAACYCCCCCACTAATAATATGTGCAATTTTCTTTTCGCTTGCACACGCAATTTAGTGCTGGTTATTTGATATTTTAGCAGATCAGACCCAGAGACCATTATTTTATTTGCCCTATTATCTTATTTTGTCACCAGCGGTGGGGAACTTCTTCGGTTACAGCTGCGTGCCCGGCATTAAAGACCCCCTGCATGACCCCAAAGGCAACAACCCAAAGAACCTGTGTGAGGCCTGCATTGGAGATGAGAACGACAGACACATCTGTGCCAACAACCAGAGAGAGAGGCACTACGGAGAGGCCGGGGCACTGAGGTATACCAACACAAAGAATAATACAACCAGGCAAAATGGGCTTGATCTGAATGAATACACTGATTGTACTAATTAGTTAGGTTAACACAAACTTTTAGCAAAGAGAAAAAAAAAACAGACATCAAGTGACCAGATAAGAGATCATTTTTTAAAGTGTGAATTACATTTTTAATATCAGTTCTCTTGATTCCTCCATGTTGTAATAAATGTCAAAAAGCTCTCTGTGTGTTGTGGAGCGAAGCTGTTGTGTAAAGCAAACGTTGGCAGAGCTGTAATTGTGTTTGAAGGGGAGATAAAAGCCCTCCAGYCAATTTAATGGTTTGTCAAAGAGCGACAAAAAGGTGGCAGTTTTTTAACTAAATACACTTATTATTTTTACTCACTCGCCACCAGATAACACATTACTGAGCGACCCTTTGTTCTTTCACCTACACTTCCACTCAGTGAAAGTGTAGGTGTGTATCTACACACCTACACTTCCACTCAGTGAAAGTGTAGGTGTGTATCTACACACCTACACTTCCACTCAGTAAAAGTGTAGGTGTGTATCTACACACCTACACTTGCTTGACTGTTGGTGTTTTTTTTTTCTCTTTTCATTTCACAGGTGTGTGGCTGAAAATCTCGGTGATGTTGCTTTTGTCAAACACACAACTGTCTTCAATAACTTGGACGGTCAGTGGTTTCATTGTTGTGCATGGTATGGATTAATGAATGGTGATGAACTGATGAGGTTGTGTAGCTGCTTCAAAATCAGCAAAAAATGCAGTTTTATGTCAAAACACAAGAGGTCAGTGTTTAACAATGAAATACTGTGTTTGGTGTACACACTACACTATACTGTGTGTACTGTGTTAATTTGGTGCAGAATAAAGTATTATACAGTATATATATATATATATATATA